CCCAATAAGAGTAACGACTTCTTGGTCACACTAATAATACAAGAAATAACAATGCTGGTCAACTACCAGCCAACGGGCGTGCGAGGGTCATGCGAGCACAACTTCATGACTTTCCAGAGAGAGAAGCTGGCAGTAATGGAGGCGGAGAGACATTTCGAAACGCCCCAACCTCCGTCAGCTCCCCAATAACGGTCCCAGCAACACAACTGGCTGGGGCTGGACGGCCAAAGCTAACCAGACACCCTGTCGACACACTTCGTTGCATTCCCAGTTGCGACGCCAGGCCTCTGGACGAAGTCGCGTACGACAAAGTCGAGTACGACCCAGCAGCAGCTCCTCCACCACTCGCGAAGAGCCTCGTGCCGCTGGAAGCACCAACGTAGCCGCCGCCACCAGCAGTCGACACCACCCGGACGGTCGCTCCGCGGCCGTTGTTCGCGGTGTTGGGTCGAGGTTCCCCCGCGTCCTGCGCCGACTCGGAGCTTGAGCGGAAAGCCCCAGTTGAGCTGGTTGTTGCCATGTCAGGTCTCGACGAGAGAACAGAGGCTAGGCAGACTGATGAACGGGGCGGGGATGGCTGAATATTAGCTGGAGTGACTCTCACAGCGGATTTAATAGGCGTTTTCATGGGGAATGGCGACTTGCTAGTCACCTCGTTGTCACCATGTCCCTCCTCTCCCGCTGCTGCTGCTACTGCTGCTGGCGGTTCACCAGGTCGATTCGTCTGGCTGTCGCTTGAACTGCGGTCGAAGAACGCTCCCCGGCCCTCATCCCCCGGGCCACCGCCCCACGAGCGGCGCACGACCTTCGTTCTTCGGTTCTTCTTCTTCGAAGCCAATTGCGCGCCGCAGGACTCGCTTTCCAGCGGCGCGATGTTCAGAAACTCCTCCAGAGTCGGTTCCCAAGCCTTGGGCTCCGGAAACTGGTCTCTCACAGGCGTTCTGGCGGGAGCCGCTGCGATTGGCTCCGGAGCCGGGACATCGCTGCTGCTGTCGCTCTCTCCGAAGCAGAAACGCATGTCTGGTATGCAGCCGAAGCAGCCGCCGCCGGATCGTGCACTGCCGCCGCAGCTAACGGCTAGCAGTGAGGATGGCGAAGCACTGCCGTGCAGCTGGTGGCGCGTGAGCGTTGCCAGGGTGGCTTGTTGCGCCACACGGGCTGAGTAGACGTGAAGTTCCCAGAGAATAGAGCAAAGAGGGAATGAGGGAGTTCGGAGAAGTGATGATGGCTACTGGAGTAAAGTTTTAGAAGGATTGGTGGTGCACAAGAGCTGGAGAGAGGGAGAAGCAGTACAGTACCACGAGAGGAGAGAAACTGTTCTGATGGGATGCGTGGTGGATCGTAAGGTTGCGTGGTCCTTGCCACCAAATCCACGGGATTCGAAACGCAACTTTTTCTGGGTTTCCAGGGCTCCCCTAAAAAATGCTAGGACGAGGGAGTTTTCTTCTAGGCGAGGAAATGTTTTCACTGGAGTGCATTCCCAGGTGATGAATTCGATCACAAGTCATGCGGAAGAGCACTCCAGTGAAAACATTTCTTCGGACGGTGGAGCTTGAGTCCGTGCATATGGGACAACAAATCACCTCCACCAACCACACTGCCTGACGAGTCAGCAGTACCCACACCAAAGCAGCAGCACATCCATCAGTACAGCAGCCAATGGAATTCTAGCAGGGTGAATCTTTGACGAGGACAAAGTAAGGACAGAACCCCGCTGCAAGGTTATGGATATTCTGAGGACTAGTCCACGCAGTTAACGATTATTCGATCTGCTCACCATAATCGGCATTCAGATAAACCTTCTAGGAAAAATCAAGTGTATGGTAACTAACATGGGGCTCAATAGCGGGTACAGTAACCATTACAGCAATCCATTCCGCTCATTTGTTTTTCACTCAAAACTGGCAAGTGATTACGCGATGGTCACTAGGTAGCTTCTCATGATGATTTTGGTGGGAAAACTAGGTGGCCAAATTGGAGGCAACCCTTCTTACGAGATGAGGGGATGGACATAAGAGTGGTTGTATGAATTGAGTAAAAAAAATTTGCATCTCCAAGCTTGGAGAATCCTTGTTTTATGGTAAATTCTGTTAACCACGTAAATTGACATGAACAGCACCTAAAGATACATACACGCGCGCGAGCACACACACACACACACACGCACACACACACACACACACACACAGACACACACAGACACACACATAGACACACACACAGACACACACACAGACACACACAGACACAGACACACACACACACACACAGACACACACAGACACACACACAGACACACACACACACACACACACACACACACACACACACACACACACACACACACACACACACACACACACACACACACACACACACACACACACACACACACACACACACACACACACACACACACACACACACACACACACACACACACACACACACACACACACACACACACACACACACACACACACACACACACACACACACACACACACACACACACACACACACACACACACACACACACACACACACACACACACACACACACACACACACACACACACACACACACACACACACACACACACACACACACACACACACACACACACACACACACACACACACACACACAACACACACACACACACACACACACACACACACACACACACACACACACACACACACACACACACACACACACACACACACACACACACACACACACACACACACACACACACACACACACACACACACACACACACACACACACACACACACACACACACACACACACACACACACACACACACACACACACACACACACACACACACACACACACACACACACACACACACACACACACACACACACACACACACACACACACACACACACACACACACACACACACACACACACACACACACACACACACACACACACACACACACACACACACACACACACACACACACACACACACACACACACACACACACACACACACACACACACACACACACACACACACACACACACACACACACACACACACACACACACACACACACACACACACACACACACACACACACACACACACACACACACACACACACACACACACACACACACACACACACACACACACACACACACACACACACACACACACACACACACACACACACACACACACACACACACACACACACACACACACACACACACACACACACACACACACACACACACACACACACACACACACACACACACACACACACACACACACACACACACACACACACACACACACACACACACACACACACACACACACACACACACACACACACACACACACACACACACACACACACACACACACACACACACACACACACACACACACACACACACACACACACACACACACACACACACACACACACACACACACACACACACACACACACACACACACACACACACACACACACACACACACACACACACACACACACACACACACACACACACACACACACACACACACACACACACACACACACACACACACACACACACACACACACACACACACACACACACACACACACACACACACACACACACACACACACACACACACACACACACACACACACACACACACACACAGACACACACACACACACACACACACACACATACAAACACACACATACACACACATACACATACAAACACACACAAACACATACACACATGCACACACACACATACGCACACGTGCACGCACACACACATACGCACACGTGCACGCACACACACATACGCATGCACATACACGCACACACACACATATGCATACACAGACACACACATACACACACACAAGCAAGCACACACGCGCGCGTGTCAGGCATATATGCTATAGACTGTGTAGGCTGTAGTGGGGCAGCTCATATAGGGTTTACTACTTGTACTCCTCATTCTGCTCAATGCATTCATTCTTCGTTTCTTATCATGGTATCGAGCAGGTTCCCAAGTGGGAACGCTACCTAGGGCCCACCACGATTTTTTTTTTTTCCTGCCCGTAGCGCGCTTCACTCCTGCCCGAGTCGCGCTCTGTGTGCCCTCCCTACCTTCGCGCCGCCCTTAGTGGCCCCTCTCACGGCCCCTTACGCCGCCCTTACGGCCCCTTACGGCCCCTCGTGCTGCCTTTACGGCCCCTTACGGCCCCTTGCGCCGCCCTTACGGCCCTCGCGCGGCCCCCTTTCGGCCCCGTCTAGGCCCCTTGCAGCCCCTCTTCGGCCCCGTCTAGGCCCCTTGCGGCCCCTCTGCGGCCCCTCTGCGACCCCGTCGCCGCCATCTGCGGCCCCGTCGCCGCCACCTGCGGCCACGCAGCCGCCACCTGCGGCCCCGCCGCTACCTGCGGCCCCGTCGCCGCCACCTGCGGCCCCGTCGCCGCCACCTGCGGCCCCGTCGCCGTCACCTGCGGCCCCGTCCCCCTCCCCTAGCGGCCGCGTCGCCGCCTCTACCGGCCCTGTCACCGCTCATCCGCCCAGCGACCGAGCCGCCGAGCAGCCCAGCAGCCAAGCCGCCCACCAGCCCAGCAGCCGAGCCGCCCACCAGCCCAGCAGCCGAGCCGCCCAGCAGCCGCGCCGCCCAGCAGCTGAGCCGCCCACCTGCCGAGCAGCCGAGCTGCCCAGCAGCCGAGCCGCCCAGCAGCCGAGCCGCCGAGCCGCCGAGCCGCCCAGCACCCGAGCTGCCCAGCAGCCGAGCCGCCCTGCCGCCGAGCCGCCGAGCCGCCCAGCAACCGAGCCGCCCAGCAGCCGAGCCGCCCAGCAGCCGAGCCGCCCTGCCGCCGAGCCGCCCTACTGTCGAGCCGCTACTGTTCCCACCGGTGCGCCCCGGCCCTCCTTCCCCGGACTGGTGAGATCACTCCCTACTAGGCCACTGCAGTCATGGCTACCCCCAGTGTCCTTACTTTTGATGCTGAGGGCCGTGCCGTTGACTTTGAGGTCTGGGTCGATGACCTCCAGCTGTTTCTCCAGTGCGATAGGGCAGACGGACTCTCTCTGATCGATCTCACCTCTGGTGTCTCTCCTGCCCCGCCTGCTACTGCTGACAACACTTTTCGCTCACAGTGGGCTACACTCGATGCTGCTACTCGCCTTGCTGTGCGTCGCCACTTACCGACCACTGAGTGTGCACACTTTAGCTAGTACAAGAGTGCTCACACCTTGTACGACGCTGTAGTTACACGCTACTCTTCCCCTGCCACTGCTGCACTGAGCCGCCTCATGCTACCGTACCTCTTCCCTGACCTTGCTGCCTTTCCCACAGTCGCTGACCTCATTACGCACCTCCGCACTAGTGACACTCGCTACCGCGCTGCGCTTCCTGCTGAGTTCTGCGCCAAGAACCCCCCCCCCATATACATCACCCTCTACTACATAGTCACCCGGCTCCCTGACTCTCTTCGCGTAGTCAGGGACCACTTCCTCTCAGTTTGCCCCACCACTCTCACCGTTGACCTCCTCGAGAAGGGCCTCCTAGCAGCTGAGAAGAGCATCATCGCTGTAGGAGACTCTCGTGGTGACCCTCGCACCCCCGTCTTTGAGGGGTGTTTCCCCTCCCCACTCTTGCCCTCTGTTGCTTCTGCTACTGCGGCCGACCTCGTTGGTTCGGTCGGCGCTGCGTGTGCCCCTAGCGGGAGACGCCGCACCGGCAAGGGCAAGGGGGGCAAGGGCGTTGGAGGGGCTGGCGGGGGCGGTGGAGGTGGTGGTGGAGGCAGTGGAGGGGGTGGGGGTGGTGGTGGGAGTGGTGGCGGGGGTGGCGGCGGCGGCAGCAGCAGTGGAGGCGGAGGAGGCGGCGGTGGTGGCGGAGGGAGCGGAGGCGGCGGAGGTGGCGGAGGAGGCGGAGGTGGAGGAGGCGGCGGAGGCGGCGGCGGCGGTGGTGGAGCGAGTCGCGACTTTGCGCAGAGGAGTGGCTCAGGTGGTGGTCCGCGCCAGCAGCAGCGGAGTGGTGTGACCCTGTCCCCTCAGCAGCTTCGTGAGTGGTACGCTGCGCGTCAGCGCGGTGGGGGTACTGGTCCCTGCACTTACGTCCTCCGTACCGGTGACCGAGCTGGTGAGCAGTGCGGGGGCCCGCACGCCACCCAGCGCTGCTTCGGTCGCCTGACGGACGCGTGGCGTCGCCAGTTCCCTGAGGCGTCAGAGATCCCTCGCTGGGGAGATCTGTCTAGGGCGGGGGTTGCCATCTTTGATCTTGACTATGATGCTATCCTTGCTGCCATGTATTCTGTGACTACTAGTGTTGAGGGTGACTGTTACCTGTGTGTACCGCCTGACCCGGGCATTGAGGCCACTACTCTAGATGCTGGTGAGGCTGCTGCTCTAGGTGCTAGTGCGTCTGCTAGCCCAGGTGCTAGTGCGTCTGCTGCCCCAGGTGCTGGTGAGTCTACTCTGTCAGGTACTACGCCGGCTCAGGCCTTACACACCTTCACCCTTGACTCGGGTGCGTCCCGCTCCTTCTTTCGAGACCGCACCACTCTTACGCCGCTCAATCGGGCGGTTGCAGTCTCCCTAGCGGACCCCTCTAGGGGTCCTGTCCTTGCTAGCTTCTCCACTGTCTTACCGTGCCTCACAGCCCCCTCTGGCACCCTGTCACGTCTCTACCTCCCCTCGTTCTCTACGAACTTGGTGAGTGGAGCGGACCTACAGGATAGGGGGGTTGACCAGTTCACTCCTGCGAGTCAGCGAGTGACCCACTGAACGTGTGCTCGGACAGGCCGACACTTGGCCACGTTCACCCGTCGGCTAGGGTCGAGCCTGTACACCCTTACTACTAAGTCTCCTCAGGCTGCTGAGTCTGGCCAGGTAGCTGCGTCGAGTCAGGTGTTTGCTGCAGCGTCCAGGTCTGGTCCTGAGCCTGCTCTCTGCTCGTGTCGTCTACTGTCACACCAGACTCTCCTCTGGCACCACCGCCTTGGTCACCCCTCCCTGCCTCGTCTCCGAGGCATGGCCTCTTGTGTCCTTGTCTCGGGTCTCCCTCTGTCTCTCCCTCCCCTACCTCCGGGGCCTGGCCCTACCTGCGTCCCCTGCGTCAAGGGGCGACAGCGCGCCGCCTGTCAAACATTATATATGTTGTGCTTGTTTAGGCTACAATGGGTTAGCCTATAGGGGGTACACAATTCTAGGGTTAGGTACTTGTACTGATTTCACTGTTAATTCAATCATTCCTGTTCGTTCATTTCAACATGGTATAGAGCAGGTCCTTCGCTAGGACCGTTTTTTTTAGGGCCCACCAGTACCTACCTACCTACCTACCTAACTGCGCCCTAGGGCGCCTCGTTTTTTCACGGCCCCCTAAGGCCCCGCGACCCGCGACCCGCCCCTTAGCGACTCGCGCGCCGCCCCTTAAGGCCCCGTCGGCCCACGCGCTCGCCCCTTACGGCCCTACGCTCGCCCCTTAGCGACCCTGTCGGCCCCGCGATCGCCCCTAACGGCTCCGTCGGCCTCGCGCTCACCTCCCTAGAGGCCCCCGTCGGCCCTGCGCTCGCCCTTAGCGGCCCCTTACGGCCCCGCGCTCGCCCCTAGAGGCCCCGAACGGCCCCGCGCTCGCCCTTAGCGGCCCCTTACGGCCCCGCGCTCGCTCCTAGAGGCCCCGAACGGCCCCGCGCTCGCCCTTAGCGGCCCCTTACCGCCCCGCGCTCGCCCCTAGAGGCCCCATTCGGTCCCGTGCTCGCCCCTAGAGGCCCCGAACGCCCCCCCCCCCAGAACGAGCCGCCCGACCCGAGCAGCCCGAACCGAGCCGCCCAGCCCGAACCGAGCCGCCCGAACCGAGCCGCCCAGCTCAAACCGAGCCGCGCCGCCTGAACCTAGCCGCGCCGCCCTTCCCGAGCCGCGCCGCCCTACCTGAATCGAGCCGCGCCGCCCGTACTGGACTGAGCCGCCCTACCTGAGTCGCACTGCCTACTGTTTTTGGGGTGCCCCTACTGCTATTACTCCTACTACTGCTATGGCTAGCCCTCTTGTGCTAGCTTTCGATGCTGAGGGCCGCCCAGTGAAGTTCGAAACCTGGCTAGATGACCTACACCTCTTCCTACAGCTCACTGCCAAGGAGGACATCTCACTGTACGATCACGCCCTAGGCCATGCTCCTGCTCCTGCTGCTACTGCTGACAGCACTGCCCGCTCACAGTGGCAGACTCGTGACGCCCACGCTCGCTTCGCTATTCGCAACTCCCTGCCGATAGATGAGCGCGAGCACTTTGGGCAGCACAAGACTGCACAGGCACTGTACACTGCTGTCGTTGCCCGCTACTCCTCACCGGCCTCTGCCGCACTAGGCCATCTCTCTCTTCCCTACCTGTTCCCCGACTTAGCCTCTTTCCACACAGTCGCTGACCTCATTACGCACCTCCGCACTAGTGAGGCTCGCTTCCGCGCCGCCATGCCTGATGAGTTCCTTGCCAAGAACCCACCCCCACTCTGGCTCACTCTCTACCACCTAGTCACCCGCCTCCCTGACACTTTGCGCTCAGTCAGGGACCACTTCCTAGCTCGCTGCCCCACTGAGCTCACCATTGCCCTCCTCGAGAAGGAACTCCTTGCAGCTGAGGCTAGCATAGTCGCTGTAGGTGCCTCTCGTGGCGACCCCCGTACCCCGTTCTTTGAGGGGTGCTCTCCTTCCCCCCTTCTTCCCTCTGTCGCCTCTGCTGCTGCTGACGACCTCCTTGGTGCTGAGAAGGTCGGGACTGCGTTTGCTTCGAGCGGGCGCCGCAGCGGCAAGGGCAAAGGGCGCAAGGGCGGTGGCGGTGACAGCGGGGGAGGCGGTGGTGGGGGCGGTGGCGGCGGTGGGGGTGGTGGCGCGACTGGAGGGGCTAGTGGCAGCGGTGGGGGTGGTGGTGGCAGCGGCGGGGGAGGTGGCAGGGGCGGAGGCGGTGGTGGGGGTGGCGGTGGACGCGGCGGCGGCAGGGGTTGGGGTGGTCGAGGAGGTGACGGCGGCGGTGGTGGTCGTGGAGGCGGTGGCGGTGGCCAGGGCCAGCAGCACACTCCGTCGCCCCAGGAGGTCCGTGAGTGGTACTCTCAGCACGGGGGGGGGGGGTGGCTTTAGCTGCACGTACGTCATTCGCACTGGTGACCGCACTGGTCAGCCGTGTGGGGGACCGCACGCCACACAGCGCTGCTTCGCTCGTCTCAACGACGCTTGGCGTGTTCAGTTCCCTCAGGCCACTGAGCTGCCCCGCTGGGTTGATCTTCTGAAGAAGGGGATTGATATCTATGCTCTAGACTTTGATGCTATTCTCACTGCTATGTATGTGATGTCTACTAGTGGAGAGAGTGCTGAGTACCTGTGTGTGCCGCCCGACCCGGGCATTAGGACTAGTGCATCTGCCGCTCCAGGTACTCGCGTGTCTGCTACCCCAAGTGCTGGTGAGGCAGCTGCTCTAGGTGCTTGTGCGTGTGCCTCCCCTGGTACTGAGTCGACGGCAGCACTGCACACCTTCACACTGGACTCCGGTGCTTCTCGCTGCTTCTTTCGTGACCGCACTGCCCTTGAGCCGCTTGCTCGCCCAGTTGCTGTCTCCCTCGCTGACCCCTCTGGGGGTCCGGTCATTGCGACCTCCTCCACTATCCTTCCCTGTCGTGCGGTCCCGTCGGGCACACTGTCAGGTCTCCACCTCCCCTCGTTCTCTACGAACTTGGTGGCAGGTAGTGCACTCCAGGACGGGGGTGTTCACCAGTTCACCACTGCCTACGAGCGCGTGATACACTGCACGTGTGCTCGTACGGGCCGCCACTTGGCTACCTTCACTCGGCAGCCGCGGTCGGACCTGTACACACTGACCACTGAGTCCCCTCAGGTCGCTGCGTCTGCGTCTGCGTCCGCGTCAGGTCAGCTGTCTGCCCCCTGCTCGTGTCGCTCTCTGGCGCACGAGACTGTCCTATGGCACCACCGACTTGGCCACCCGTCTGTGCAGCGCCTTCGTGCCATGCACTCCCGGTACCTTGTCTCCGGTCTTCCCAGAGTCCTCCCTTCCCTCCCACCCTCGCCTGCTCCTCCCTGTCTTCCCTGCGTCGAGGGGCGGCAGCGCGCCGCTCCTCACTCCTCCTCGTTTCCCCAGACGACTGCTCCCTTGCAGACGCTCCACATGGACGTGTGGGGCCCAGCCCACGTCCGTGGTCAGGGTCAGGAGAGGTACTTCCTGATAGTTGTTGACGACTACTCGCGCTACACCACGGTCTTCCCCTTGCGCACCAAGGGTGAGGTCCCTGATGTCTTGATCCCTTGGATCCGCAGAGCCCGTCTCCAGCTCAGCGAGCGTTTCCACTCGGACTTTCCTGTCCTGCGCTTGCACTCTGACAGAGGTGGTGAGTTCTCCTCCGACCTCTTGGCAGCCTACTGTGCTGAGCACGGCATTGAGCAGTCGTTCACGCTTCCGCCCTCTCCACAGCAGAATGGGATTGCAGAGCGCCGCATTGGCCTGGTCATGGAGGTCGCCCGTACCTCCTTGATCCATGCGGCTGCCCCCCACTTTCTGTGGCCGTTTGCGGTCCGGTACGCTGCGCATCAGCTCAACCTCTGGCCCCGTGTCTCCTTGCCGGAGACCTCGCCCACACTGCTGTGGACGGGGGAGGTTGGCGATGCGTCGCGTTTCCGGGTCTGGGGATCTCGAGCTTTTGTCCGCGATACGTCTGCGGACAAGCTCTCCTCCGGTGCTGTTCCCTGCGTCTTCCTCGGCTTTGTCCCGGACGCGCCTGGTTGGCAGTTTTACCACGCCACCTCGCGCCGAGTCTTGCCCTCTCAAGACGTCACCTTTGACGAGTCCGTCCCCTACTTCTGCCTCTTCCCCTACCGCACTGCCCCGCTCCCACCCCCGCCTCTCTTCCTCGCGCCAGGTGCTGCTGTCGTAGACCCCCTCCCCCCTTAGGGTGCCGCCCCCTCAGGTGTGTCTCAGGTAGACCCGGTTGAGCCTGTTGAGGTAGCTGTCGACTCTCGTCCTGCTGTGGGTGCGGAGCCTGGGGGTGCTGAGCCTGGGGGTGCGGAGCCTGGGGGTGCTGAGCCTGGGGGTGCGGAGCCTGGGGGTGCGGAGCCTGGGGGTGCGGAGCCTGGGGGTGCGGAGCCTAGGGGTGCTGAGCCTTGGGGTACGGAGCCTGGGGGTGCTGAGCCTGGGAGTACTGAGCCTGGGGGTGCTGAGCCGCAGAGTCCGGAGTCTGGGGGTTCTGAGTTTGGAGGTCCTGAGCCCGAGGGTCCTACACCTGGCGGAGCCCTCTCCTTGGAGCAGCTGCGTGAGTGGTACTTCTAGTACTGCAGCCTCAGGAGAGGGACTGGTGCTAGTGCTTCTCCTCCTAGCCGGGAGCTCCCCTCCCGTGAGCGGATCCGTGAGTGGTACGAGCGGCGCTGCACTCTCCGGAGTGGCGCGCCTGGTGTCGCGGACCCTGCTGCTGCTGCTGGTGCTGCTGGTGCTGGAGACTCTACTGGTTCTGCTGGTGCTGCGGCCCCAGAGGTTGGAGTTGTTTCTAGTGCTGCGGACCCGGGCGTCGGAGCTACGGCTGGTGCTGCGGACCCGGGCGCTAGTGCTGCTGCTGGTGCTGAGGACCCGGGCGTTGGAGCTGCTGCTGGTGCTGAGGACCCTGGAGCTGGTGCTGCTGCGGGTGCTGTGGAGTCGGGCGTTAGAGCTGCTGCTGGTGCGGAGGACCCTGGCGCTGGTGTCTCTACTGGTTCTGGAGTCGCTGCACGGCAGCGGCCGTACTTCGTTCCGCTCCTT